ATTCCTGGGCTCTTAGAGGACATTTAGGGGTGAATTAGAGCTAAATGACAGCACAGAACCCTGAGAGCCAGGACTGGGGACTATAAACAAACTTTATGGGATCATGGGAAATTTGGCCATACCCATGCTAAGTGGAAATCTGACTGACTAAAATCATTCTGGATCACGGAGGTTGCCAGACCAGAGTGTTCTGCACTAGAATTCCTGGGCTCTTAGAGGACATTTAGGGGTGAATTAGAGCTAAATGACAGCACAGAACCCTGAGAGCCAGGACTGGGGACTATAAACAAACTTTATGGGATCATGGGAAATTTGGCCATACCCATGCTAAGTGGAAATCTGACTGACTAAAATCATTCTGGATCACGGAGGTTGCCAGACCAGAGTGTTCTGCACTAGAGAGGTTCCACCTGTGCTATTCTGCAGCCTGTGTGTAAGATGCCACTCCTATGCTAGAAAGTGTGTTCAGTCATACCTCTGCTCTGCTCCAACAATCTTGTGAGAGAGAGATAATCCAAGCTCCCTCGTGGGATGAACCTCTGCTTCATGAATAAAAGACGCATCTGTACTTATTCTATGCTGTTTATTTAAACATTCTTCCTCTATTGGCTTCTCTTCTTCTCCTCTCGCCCAAATAAAGCCGGAATTAGGTTCTTCAACGTTAGATAATACTTCCGACATCAAAGTGCTGTTTCTCTAATTAGCTGAAAAATTCAAAACAAAATGAGTGGGGGTGGGTGGAGGGTTTTTCATTCTGCCATAAGGATATGATATTATTCACAACATCACTTAATTAAATACTAGAAGTGAGCTCTCATGGAAATGAGGACCCTTTGGAAATGAATCATTCTTTCCTTAAACAATCCTTCCCTGTGTTCAAATATTGGCAAGAGAAATGTAGCTTTGTCTCAGTGATCTAGCATTCAATTGATTTTTTTCCATTTAATTCAATATTTAAAGCATGAACTTTTGATTAAAAAAAAGGGAATTAATTCACTGGACAATTTAAAATGCATAATTGTGTGGTATGTTACCAAAGTAAAACCCCAACCTCCACAAGTCCTTGTAATGCATATCTACTCCCCAAGCCATCTCCTTCATCAAACCAAGTTGGGAGGTGCTTTTTCACATGACAGCATCAAGGGGGGATTTTCAAAAGCATTTAGTGTATGTCAAGTTTTGCTCCCACTTAAAATCAATGACAAACTTTCACCAACTTCAGACTTGTTTAGCATTGGTCTAACTTTGCTCCCTTTGAATCTTCTATGGTCAGTCAATAAGCAGCCACTTTGTATTTTACTGACAAACAGTACAAAGATATGGATATGGGAAGACGGAGTTCAATAACATCCTCGCTTTCGTTCTTTTATGCAGCATATTAGAGTCAACCTTAAACCCATTTCAAGGCAAAGAGGAGACTCTGATATAGATCTGAGCAAATAATGGATTTTTCAGAAAAATCAGGAGGGAAAATCCATTTGGGTTCAACTAAGCTGAATGTTTTTCCTTGCCAAAATGAAAAACCAAGGAGGGATGAGACTCACTTGGCATTTGAATGAAATAAATTTGACAAAGCGATTTGTTTTGTTTTTCATTTTGTTTGGGTAGGGGTATTGGGCGGTGGGAGTTCTATTTGTAACATTTGCTCAGTTTTGACGGTCTAAATAAAAAAGCTGAGATGTTTCATGTAGGCCAGGGCTGGCAAACCCACAGCTCACGAGCCGCATGCGGCAGCTCTTCCCCCTTAAATTGCAGCTCGCAAAGCCTCCCCCGTGGCTCATGAAGCCACCTCTGCACCCCTAAAAATGGTTCCCTGTGCTCACCATCTGGCACAGCAAAGCAAAAATGTCTACCCCTGATGTAGACATTTTCAGTATAAAACTGGTCAAGGGTGGGAACAAATCACATTTTTCCTCCCAGGCAAAAATGTTTGCCAGATTCAACCCAAAATCCCAAATAATTATGGTGACCTCTAAAACGTGTTTATCGGTAAATTTACTCTTCATCAAAACAAATTCACTCAACTCTCCTCCTCCTGATTTCAACAGGAAGTAGATCAGGCCCATATACACCTGATTGCAAAGGGAGATGTACACAGGAAAACAGAAGCATTTAGAAAGAAGGGGAAAGTGAGGGAGTAGGGGAGTAAGCGAGATGAACTAATGTGAGTGTGGTGCATATTGACGATGGCCTATAGCATGCAGAACCTCATATATCTGGTGGCCAGTTGGACCTACTTTCTGAAGACATGTCTCTGGATTCGGCAGGGCTTACTGAAAACTCAGTTTCACGCAGCCAGAATACAATTTTTTCCATGGTGAAAACAAGGGAAAGGAGAGTCATGGAAAGAAAATCACTCAGTGGATGCTGAGTTTTGATCACCCATTGCCTGTAATTCCGTCTCTTAATTATCACTAAATAAAAGCTGTTTTGCTTTCTCTCTCAGTACACAAAACACTTGCAGGTTCTTTGCCGTACCATCTGTGCTATACTGCTAAATTCAGATATTAAATAGGTTTGCTATTTTTGATCATTCCCTTAGGAAACGACCAATCATGGCGTTGTTTTATTTATTTTAAAAAAATGAAAGTTTGCAACCAACATTTGGTCTTTTTCATCCATCTTATTATTTATTATTTGAATTGCAGCTGGGACAAGGAACGCCGGCCAGAGACTCGGAGCCCACGCCGCAAGGTGCTGCATGAGCAGAGAACAAATAACGGCAATACCTTATAGAGAGCAGAGCATTTTACGAAGCAGGTCAGTTTCATTATTCCCATTTACAGGAGATGATTAGCCCTCATTCACACAGCAGGACTCTGCCTGAGCAGAGAATAAACTCAGAACTCCTCAAACCCAGCCTAGTGCTCTTCCACTGAGCCACACTAGAGAATTTTGCCCTGCTGCTACGACAAACTGATTAGAAATAAATGTGGATGCAGCTGAACATGAGCACAAGGGAAGGAGTAGTGCATATTGGACAGCGTGATAGTTACCAGTTAGACAGGTGCGATCTAAAAACCTAATAGTGAGATACACGACCACATGCCTTTCAAGTGTCTAAAAGGGTGTTACAAGGAAGAAAATTGTTTTCCTTGGCTTCTAAGGATAGCAAGGGAGGTTTAGGTTGGACATTAGGAAAAACTTCCTACATGTCAGGTTGGTGAAACACTGGAATAAAATTGCCTGGGGAGGTTGTGGAATCTCCATCACTGGAGATATTGAAGAGCAAGTTGGACAGACACCTGTCCAGGATGATCTAAGTGGTGCTTGGTCCTGCCGTGAGGGCAGGGGACTGGACTTGATGACGTCTTGCGGACCCTTCCAGTTCTACGATTCTATGCGTAATTTTAAGCACACAAGTTGCATGGAGACTATTCATGTCGCAGGCTTGACACCTTCAGCCAGGTCTACCCTAGGGGATAAGTTTGAATTAAGATACGCTACTCCAGCTACGTTAATTACATAGCTGGAGTGGAAGTATCTTAAATTGCATTTTGGCACCATCCACACAGCGGGAGATCGAGGGGAACACACACTCCCTTCGACTTCCCTGACTCTTCGTAGGAGCAGGAATACCCGCATTGATGGGCGCGCCCTCTCAGTTCCAATTAGCTTGTATTCACTAGACCCGCTCATTCGAACCCCGGAAGATTGACTGTAGTAGCTTTGATCTTCTCTAGTGCAGACCTGGCCTCGCTGAGTTGGCAGGAAGGTGATTTTGAACAGCTGTTGGGCACATCATTGCTATTTGTGCCTTTGACAATCAACTCTCAAACACTCAGTACACTTGCCCTTTCTTCCGCCCTCCCCTACTTTGGCAAACCACATTAGATTAGTAGGCCCTGCCCAGACCAGTTCAGTAGTAACTGTAACTGACTGCCAGCACCTTGTTCCATTGGCCACATGGAATGAGTTCTTCCTCTTGGTCTAGATCCTGTCACTCATAATTGGGAGTCTCCTTTGGGAATCCACAAGGAGTAGAACCCCAGATTGCTAAGTGCCTGGGAAGGAAACACAGAGCAGAACCAGTCCGGCTGCCTCCTCTCAGTTTGCCTGCCTCCTGCTCCTGGCGCCAGTCGGTGCTGGAAGGACAAAGGGAAATTGCCAGCAGGACCCCAGGAAATTCTCCCAATGTGTAGCCATTTGTGGTCCAGAACTTGTAGCTCCCACTGCACGAGCTCACTGGACTTTTGGTTCTGTGTAAAGCCCTTGGATCCTTGGATGAAAGGTAAAACCCAACTGCAAACTATTTGTCTCAGTCTAAAAGAATTCTAAGTCTCCTATCCCTGGGTAACCCCATCCAAGGGCTTGTCTACACTAGGACATTATTTCAAAATATCTAAATTTGACTTAACTCCCAATTTTACAAAATCAAAATAGCCTGTCCCCATGTGTTCCCCCTGTGTTAGGCACTATGGGGAAGCCTTGAAATTAGTCTGAGACAGGCTCTGTTAATGTAGACGTGCTACCTTGACTTAGAGCCCCAGGAAACGCTGGGGAGAAATTAGTTGGAATGACTCTGAGGAGTCGTTATTTTGAAAAAGCAGCACTGGAGCATCCACACTGCTGCTATTTCAAAATAATTATTTTGGAATTAGCATTATTCCCTGAGGAAAGCAGAAGTGCAGATTTTTAGATAAGCAGCCCGTTATTTCGAAATAACAGGCTTGATAGTGCGGACGCTCCACCTATTATTTCAAAATAAGAGGGGGGGTTATTTCAAAATACAGCTCTAGTGTAGACCGAGGCTAAGTTGTTAACAATAACTCTTACTGCCTAATTTGTTTCCATAATGATCCAAACACCCTCCCACAAAACCGGAGATGGGTTCAGTGTCAGATTCCCTCATAGTACATGTATCTCTCCCCCATTTAATGAATAACAAAATCTTCTGGCTTTCCTGTTTTGAGAATTCACAAGGAGGTAGGGGAGAGGGAGACGAGGAACTGGATAAGCACCGTGGTTAGCACGTGAAAACCACACTTGCAGTCAGCGAGCCGGGAAATGCAGAAATGCCCTATGTAGACTAAACAAGCTGTAGCAACCTTCTCGGCTTTATCAAATATTCATGGGGAATGGACTTGTGGGAATGCACAGCTAATACTAATGGACCCCTCTGAACCATCTCCGGTTCCCTGGCATTCTCCAGTCCCCATGTGCACTCGTATCTCTGCATTACACTCACCGATGCCTCTTAGCAACTAGCGTGGGTTATAGCAATGCAAGGGTTGATGGCAGAACGCAGACTTCTGTTCCTCACGAGGTGAACCAAGGCAACAGATTAATTGCTCGATGGGATGTTGTTGGATCAGTGCTTTGTGACTGAAGGGAGGCAGAGTCGGCGAGTGATTCTGTGGATGAATCAAAAGGAATCAGTTTAGACTCATAACTGGAATCAAGTTGAAGATGGCGGCCCCGGGCACACCACCCAGCTCGCCCACTCCTAAGACCGGCTCTGTTACTGGCCTTTGACAAGAAAACACACATCACCATGGCAAGCTCACATTCAACTCTAGCAAGAGGTGAATCTTCCAAAGCAACAGCCCTCAACTTCCATGCCATCCTCAAGCAATTTCAGACCAAGAACTTAGCTCAGAGACGATTTACACACCTCGACTCAGGATTCACCGGAGGAATGAGAAATTGCTCTCTGTCACCCTCGCTGAGATGATGCCTTTTCCGTCCGACCGTGCTCTATGGGAGAGCAATGCAGGAACACCAAGCGGGAATGAGAGGGTTTATCTCAGTGGGATTACTTGGTGATGTTGCGAGTCTTGGCAAGCTTCGGCTGGAGTCTCTTCAAACTTGCAATACTTCCGAGCCATCACAGCAGCTTGATTTCAGTGTTCTTTGCCTCTTTTTAACAGCCTTTCTTTCTCTGAGGGTATGTCTACACTACCAGCCTAGTTTGAACTAGGGTGGTTAATGTAGGCAACCGAAGTTGCAAATGAAGCCCGGGATTTGAATTTCCCGGGCTTCATTTGCATCTTGCCAGGCGCCGCCATTTTTAAATCCTCGCTAGTTCGGACTCCGTGCCCGCGGCTACACGCAGCACGGAGTAGGTAGTTCGGATTAGGCTTCCTATTCCGAACTACCGGTACACCTCGTTCCGGGAAATTCAAATCCTGGGCTTCATTTGCAACTTCGGTTGCCTACATTAACCACCCTAGTTCAAACTAGGCTGGTAGTGTAGACATACCCTCAGAGAAAGAAAGGCTGTTAAAAAGAGGCAAAGAACACTGAAATCAAGCTGCTGTGATGGCTCGGAAGTATTGCAAGTTTGAAGAGACTCCAGCCGAAAAAATAGGCCCTCCTCCGGCACTCAACAGGGGAGTTCGCCAGACCAGGGGAGGTCAGGCCTCTGGGCTCTCTGGAGCTCCCATTCTGGACCCCAGCCCTAGCTAGCATGCTTCCCGGCCTCCTTGTTGGGGCTTCGCCGCTCCTGGCTACTGACTGGGACTCCATTGCTTAGGCTCCGGCTGCCAGGGCTATGGCTGCCAGCCCTGTTCTATCTGGCAGGGCATCCTGTCCCAAGGCGACTGGCCCTGCGGGCTGCCAGCCACCACACCAGCTCCCCTCCCAGCTGCTAGCAATCTCTTTGGCTGGGGATCTCTGGTCCAGAGGCGCTCTGGTGTGACAACATCCACAGAGCTGCTGGACCTGAGCACCCCAGACTAGAGAAGTTCAACCTGGACCTAGATTTAGTAAATGGGGAGGTGAACAGGAGAGAAGCAGAAAAAAGATAAAGCTTCGAAATAACCACAGAGCACATACAAAATGTGCCTGGCCTTCTAACAGGTTTTCAAACCAGTTAAAAACCATCCCAAATTGGAGAGAAAACAGCTTAGAGAAATTACAGACATTTTTAGAAACTCAACATTAAAACACAAAAAACAAAACCTATGATTTGGTTTTGGCCCAATACCATTTTCTTCGGGGCTCTCAGGCCTGATCCAAAGCCCACTGAAATCAACACGCGCTTTTCCCATTGGTTTCAATAGTCTTTGGATCGGGCTCTTTCATGAGTGAAATTCATTCCTCAAATACCAAATGGCATCCTCAGAGGCTGGCTGGCAGTAAATTGGGGTAAGACTGATATCCCCACCCGACTGATTGCGCCTAATAAACAACACAGCAGAAAGTTTGTGCTGCTTGAATCTTGGAGTCTTTCCAATGATTTAATCAGATCTTCAATATTAAAGAGAATGTCTCCTTCTGGACAGACTCCTGTGGTGCCCGGCAGCTCCACAGATGCCTCTCTGATGTGGTTAGCCAGCTTCAGTAACTGTTCTCTTTCTCTGCAGCAAGAAGTGCTGGTTAACCCATCCATGTCCTCCGATTTCATGCTTGTCATGCACTAATTGATCTTCTCCCCTTCCGAGGCAGTAATGATTGAACACCCCCAAACAGAGTTAAGGGACATTGCCAGATGAAAAGTCTCAGAGGGGTAGCTGTATTAATCTGCAAAAACAATGAGGAGTCTTGTGGTACCTTGGAGACTAACAGATTTATTAGGGCATAAGCTTTCGTGGGTAAGTAAAACACACTTCTTATGTTGAATTGGCATAGAAATTACAGAGGCAAGGATCTATCTATCTATCTATCTATCTATCTATCTATCTATCTATCTATCGATGAACAACAGAAGAAAGAAGTTACTTGTCAAGTGTAGGACCAGTGTTAGTAATTTCTTTCTTTTATTCAGATACATGGATCAATAGATAGATAATACGGTATGTGGGGATGGATGGATGGAT